GCCTCCACATTGGATTACTGACGGCACATAGTGGGCACGTCAATTTCTGGGTGCCACGTAGTGCATTCTGTAACGGTGCCGTGACGGCGCGTTAAAATGTTGGGTTTTTCACGGGTTTTGAAAACTTGAGGGTGTGAATAGGGAGGAAAATATTTGGAAGGTGTTGACCGTGGAAAACAATTAAGTATAGGGTGCAAATAGGGGTTTGGCCTATATTTAAAACGGTAAAATATAAAGCTCTTAATATAAAAGGGAAATTTATTTTACGAGGCTAACACACGCAGCCAACATATCGGTCCAATCGTTAAGTACCAATAATTGTCAGCTGCCATATCTTTAATCATGCAACAAATTGACTGGCGCGTACGGTCCCCCCCTCCCCCTTTTTTTTAACGGTAAGGTGAATTTAGATAATTAGATCAGATTCCATTCTTTACGTACTTAGTAAATAATTTCTCATCGTTTTTCATTTTTCGACATAGTGGTTTTTTTTTTTTTTTTTGAACATTTTGATATGGGGTGGGTTTTGGGGAGGAGGAATGCACCTAACAAGCTGACTAATGTCAGTGGGCCTCAATGCCCAAGTGCTTTTTCGACATAGTGGTTTGTTATTAATTTTTGTGAAAATATTATCTAAATTAAATGTTTGAATTTTCAGATTCTTCTTTCTCTTTTCCCTTCGTAGTATTGTAGAAATGATTATAATATTATTTAAAAATAAATTTCTCATCAAATAATTTTAAAAACATATTTTTTATATTAATTTAAATTTTTACAAAATTAATTTTTTTAAATATTAATTTTAAAATTTATATCCCCAAAACTTAAATTATAAAACGATGATAACTCTTTTAAAGTAATGATATATAAATAAATTTGTAATGAGTTATTTTTATAATTTTTGTATATTATTAAATAAATTATATATATAATATTATAAATTTTAATAAAATAAAATTTAACAATCATTAAAAAATACTTAAAATTTTATTTAAAATATGTGAACAAAAATTATTCATAAATCGTTTTCTTATCACTTTTGTCCTTGTGTAGCACTAGCAGCTCGGCTGTCGGCTGGAACCTCGACCTGGACCTGAACCTGGACAGCACTACAATTACATGTTCTCCACAGTCCCCTCTGTAATTTTTTTACTATTTATTGTTCGTCGTTCGTTTCGTTTCATTTCGTGACATTTTCTCTTCGTTGGAGAAATGTAACATGCCTAACAGCCTAAGTAACATGCCTAATAGATTTGTCCTGTGTTGTACCAAAAGCCGTTTTTTTTTTCGTGATTTGTCATTTGATTTGGAGGGATTCATCTAAAAAAGGCAAAAAGAAGAGCATTATTGGCAGGACATGCTCTCAAACAGGCTGTTTCTGCAATGTTGGTGGCAGAGGCTTTTAGCCTTATGTGTGCACACCTGTTTATCAAAATGTTACCAGGGCTATATTTGAATCGGACAGCAATTTGTCATTTAAATTGTCAGCAAAGAAATGTAAGTTTCATGGTTGGTAGACCTTTTGGTTAAATCTATTTGGCAATTTGTTGTGGATAACCTTGAAACTTGTAGTTTTGGGTCTATATCTAGACAAACTAATACAATTATTGTAGATTGAATAGCAAAGCAAAAGTTAAATGATTAGTATTTCTTGTGTTGGATTTATTGTTTCGTCACCGAATCTTTAATTTTTGTTAATACTGAATGTAAGTGCATTTTAATATAATGAAATTTCTATTTTTGTTCAAAAAAAAGGGTGAAGACATGTCTATAGGTTTTAGGTCTATTTTTTCTAATTCAACATAGTATTTTTTTATTGATTTTGTAGTCTCTAAAACTTGTATTTCCTCTGTTTTTTTTTTTTAAATATGACATATGCCAACTAATTAAAACGCTCCTAATAATAATAGAGTAACAAAATAAGACAAAATGTAAATTTACATCATTTAATGTGAAAGTGTCTTATATAATATTAATAATTTAACTAATTATTTTACAAATCTTTCTTCAAACTCCCTCTTTTTTTAATTGCATTTAATTTGACTATATATGTATATTAGCAAACTTTTTGTATTTACAATTTTTTTTTTTGAATAATGTTGTCATAAAACAAATTCAAATCCATTCAAAAGAAAAAGAGAGTGCCCTTCAAGATAATCGAAGACCACTTAATCTGAGGGGTAAGTACTTTTGTATTTACAATTTAGAATACAAAATATATAAATATATTAATTGGATTTTGAAAAAAAAAAATAAAAAACCCTTAGTACCGTGATGGTAATGGAGAAATATCACGAGAAAGCCGAGACAATGAAATGGTAGATTCTCGTCCCTCAAAAAATTCACAACCAAACAAATGTGCTTTTCACCCACGTGCCAAGGCCTACCCCTGTTCTCGTTCGTGTGCCTCGGTTTTGGAATACACTGTATTTTTTTAAAATAAAAATAATACTAGGTTTGATACGTCGGTTTAAAATTAATTATTATTAATATTATTATTTATTAAATAAAATTATTAATTATTAATTTTAAACCATATAACAAACAGCCTCTTATTAAAAACAAATGGAGAAAATGGTGTTAAAAAAAAAAAAAAAAAAGGCGCAAAGAAAAGTTGGTACTAATACTAGGTACTCTCAGTCTGTCCTTTTTCTTTATAGACAGATTCAGTGGTCTTCCCAGATCTCCCAAGTCTTTTTCACTACCCATTTCTACATTTTACCTCACTCTTCACACCTTCTTTTTGCTTCACTGATCACTTCTTTTTTTGCTTCAAGAAATTTATAGAAAGAAGAGAAAAAAAAAAAGAACCCAAAGATTTTCATTACTGCAACCTGAAGAAGTGAAGTGAGTGTTGAGGTACATTGCTTTCTCTCTTTCATATAAAAGTAATTCCATTGAAGTTGGTTGGGTAATTCAAAATTGGGTGTTCTTTGTTCATTCCTTTAGGTAATGTAACATTGCATGATGGGGTATTTGTATTTTCCTCTTTCTTGAGCTTTGGTCTGGAAAGTAAAGGTTTTTGGTTTGGTTTAAAAAGGGGGTTTTAGCTTTAGATCTAATTGATTGTAGAGAAATACACTTTCTGTTTGGTAGACTGTGCATTTTGAGAAAATGTATGATTTCTTTTACCTTTTATGCTTGTTTTACATTTTTAAATGCTGGAAAAATGGTCCAAAGAATGCTAAAGTTCTCATCTTCTGGGTCAAAATTACATTAAATGCTCTGCTAATATTGAAAGTTTCTATTGATTCTTTTTCCTGGCTTAGTTGATTACAGTAATGGTGACAGTAAATAGAACTTGATTGTGACTCTCATGTTATTTTCCTTCTTTTCTCAGTACCCAAATGGAGGATTGCTCGTGATTTTTCAGTGTTTTGATTTGGCAGGTTTTTTGTGATTCAAGTTAAGAGCTTTCACAGAAGTGCCTGTTAATTGTCACTTAGTTGTGTGTTTCTGGTGATTTATGAGTTTCTTCAATGGTTTATCCGGATTTTGCTTAATTTCTTTGGGTAGTCAAATAGTCCAGTAATCACAAGTACATATTGGATTTCTCTCTGAATTTTCGAGTCTTGAGGTTGCTGTCATACCCATACTCTGCATCCAAATCCCCATTTTTGGTAACCTTACTTGCCCAGACTTGTTTTGTGTTCCTTAGAAAAGATGCAGAAGCTTCCACAGAATGTTGAATTTGCTCTGAAGGAGACCTCGCCCAACATTGGACCAGGGGCTGTCAGTGCTGATAAACTGGCATGCACCTATGACCTTGTGGAGCAAATGCAATACCTTTATGTCCGTGTTGTCAAGGCCAAGGATTTACCACCAAAAGATGTCACTGGTAGTTGTGACCCCTATGTTGAGGTGAAGCTTGGGAACTATAAAGGACTTACTAAGCATTTTGAGAAGAAGTCCAACCCTGAGTGGAATCAGGTCTTTGCTTTCTCAAAAGATAGAATTCAAGCTTCAGTCTTGGAAGTGGTGGTGAAGGATAAGGATGTTGTTGTTGATGATTTCATTGGCAGGCTTACTTTTGACCTCAATGAAATTCCAAAAAGGGTTCCTCCAGATAGCCCCTTGGCACCTCAGTGGTACAGATTGGAAGACAAGAAGGGGAATAAGGCTAAGGGAGAGCTGATGCTGGCTGTTTGGATGGGAACTCAAGCTGATGAGGCTTTTCCTGATGCATGGCATTCAGATGCAGCTTCAGTAAGTGGGGATGCAGTTTCAAACATTCGGTCCAAAGTATATCTTTCACCCAGGCTTTGGTATGTGAGGGTCAATATAATTGAAGCTCAGGACTTGGTACCTGGTGATAAGAGCAGGTTCCCAGAGGTTTTTGTGAAAGCTGTTCTTGGAAATCAGGCATTGAGAACCAGAATATCTCAAACTAAGACTATCAATCCATTGTGGAATGAGGACTTGATGTTTGTAGCTGCTGAACCTTTTGAGGAACCTCTGGTGCTAAGTGTGGAGGATAGGGTGGGACCAAACAAGGATGAAACTTTGGGGAGGTGTGTGATTCCTCTGCAGAATGTACAGAGAAGGTTAGACCACAAGCCTGTAATCTCTAAGTGGCATAATCTTGAGAAGCATGTGGTTGTAGATGGCGAGAAAAAAGAAACTAAATTTGCTAGTAGGATTTATTTGAGGATCTGTTTGGAGGGGGGCTATCATGTTCTAGATGAATCTACTCACTACAGTAGTGATCTTAGGCCAACGGCAAAACAATTGTGGAAACCTAGCATTGGCATTCTGGAACTGGGGGTTCTAAGTGCTCATGGACTAATGCCAATGAAGACAAGAGATGGGCGAGCAACCACAGATGCTTATTGTGTGGCCAAGTATGGGCAGAAATGGGTCCGGACAAGGACAATTGTGGACAGTCCTATGCCAAAGTGGAATGAGCAGTACATTTGGGAGGTTTTTGACCCGTGCACTGTCATTACAATAGGGGTTTTTGATAATGGCCATCTGCATGGGGGAAATGGAGGGACAAAGGACTCGAGAATTGGGAAGGTAAGGATTCGGGTATCCACCCTAGAAGCTGATAGGGTGTACACACACTCGTATCCTCTTCTGGTGCTACATGGTTCAGGAGTAAAGAAGACGGGTGAAGTTCAACTGGCTGTGAGGTTCACATGCTCATCCTTGATAAATATGCTGTATATGTACTCACGGCCATTGCTGCCAAAAATGCATTACATTCACCCATTGTCTGTTCTTCAGCAGAACAGCTTGAGGGACCATGCTATGCAGATTGTTTCAATAAGACTGAGCCGGGCAGAGCCCCCATTGAGGAAAGAGGTTGTGGAGTACATGCTTGATGTTGATTCACATATGTGGAGCATGAGGAGGAGCAAGGCAAACTTTTTCAGAATTATGGGGGTCCTAAGTGGGTTGATTGGAGTTGGAAAATGGTTTGATCAGATCTGTAAATGGAGAAACCCTCTCACAACCATTCTGATTCATATCCTTTTTATTATATTGGTTCTTTATCCTGAGCTAATACTTCCCACAGTTCTTCTCTACCTCTTCCTGATTGGAATATGGAACTTCCGCCGGAGGTGTCGACAACCTCCTCACATGGACACACGCCTCTCACATGCTGATGCTGCCCATCCTGATGAACTAGATGAAGAGTTTGACACATTCCCCACTTCTCGGTCATCAGAAATTGTTAGGATGAGGTATGATCGCCTACGAAGTATAGCAGGAAGAGTTCAGACAGTGATTGGTGATCTTGCAACTCAAGGGGAAAGATTTCAGTCTCTGCTAAGCTGGAGAGACCCGAGAGCTACGACCCTATTCATCACATTCTGTCTGATTGCTGCCATAGTCCTTTATGTCACTCCATTCCAAGTTGTGGTCCTTCTCATGGGCCTTTTTGTCCTCAGGCATCCCAGGTTCCGCCACAAGCTTCCTTCTGTACCCCTCAACTTCTTTAGAAGGTTGCCTGCAAGATCAGACAGCATGCTGTGATCAGAACTAGTTGTTGCTTGCTACTCATCATTGGATCTAGAATTTCTGGTTATGCTCACAAGAAAGCAGGGAAAAGTAGCAGCAGTTGAGCAGTTTATGTTTCTTATATTTGTTGGCAGATGCATGGTTCAGACATAAGTTTACTTTCCTCTGCCAAAGTATGTAAATTTTATGCAATTGTAGCTTGTTTTATGTTGTTTTAAGAAACATGTTGATTATTTTCAGTATTTTCATTGCTAGGTTTCAACTTGAATGTAATCCATCTCTATCTTTTGCTTGATTTATCTTACTAAGACTGCATGACTGTGTAACTCTTCAAGTTGAAGTTTTGGAGCATGGATTAGAAAATACAAATGGCAGCAAAACTCTAGCATTTTTTTTTTTTCAGAACCTTATCCTTGACGGTCAACACTTTTTCATGTATCTGACCCTTCTTTACATAGGTCAGGGGTATGGTTCCAACACCCATATCCTAAATCACAAGAATCCTCCTGGAAAGAGGAAAGGCAATGCACTTCTCTTTATGTCTTCAATCTTTATTCTTTTGTAAACTCTCTTTCGAGAAGGGCATGGATAATCAAGGAAAAGGCAATCCTTTGTTCTCACAAAGAGTCTTCTGAGATTCTTAGTATTCTCTTTTATTTAATTTGAGGAGTTTTTCCTGTTTTTAGGTGTTACATATAGTCTATAGATGACGGGACCATGATAGCATAAAATTCAGAAATAGTTTAAAGTGAGGGCTAAGAGGAATGGAATCTTATGACACTAGGTTCTATTAAAAGATATACCTAACAACTTCCCTTAGAATCTTAACAAGGAATCAAATGGTTTTTTTACCTAAAAATCAGACTTTTGAAAACATCACTTTTCTTTATCAATTAGTCTAGTGTTCAAGCCCTAGACATGCGGGTAAAGGGATAGGCATAAGTTGCCTCCCATTGCCAAGATTTAAGAAGGGTTAAATTCAATAAATAATCTATTAACTATGTGATTTATTTTAGTTTAGTTTAAAAATAATTTTTTCTTTCAAAATGATTTATAAACTATCAATTTTGTTTTAAAATGGTTTACTTAACAAACATTCTGATCAACTGACTAACTAACGTAATTCTTTCTAACTTGTTGACCAGCTACTCCTTACACTTTTGAAAAATGTTACATATAGTACATATATTTTTTTATTTTTTT